GACGGGGAGGAGGAGGAGGAGGAGGAAGTACAGGAGGAGGAGGACGACGGGGAGGAGGATGAGGAGGAGGACAAGGAGGAGGAGGAGGAGGAGGAGGAGGAGGAGGAGGGGGCTGGACACCTACCATGACGATGGCGTGCTCCCTACGAGGCTGCGTTGACGTCGACGATAGCGACAGCTGCGCGGTTTGGAGTGGCGGGGATGGCTGGCTTGGCTGGTTTGAATTCGAACGCAGGCCCTGGCTGCCCCCTCCCGCCAGGCCGGCCGCCCAACCCCGCCCCCAGGGCCCGCACCTGCCCCCCAGACCCTTCCGAGGATCGGTAATGCCCGCTGGGCGAACGAGTTCACAGGCCTCGGAAAGGCGTTTGTGCGAACGCGTTCGCTTCCCGTTTGGGTGACCGAACGCGTTCGGACGTTCGGAAAACTTCCGAGCACATTCGGTGTGCTACGCAGGACCCAATGTGGGACAGGACAAGGCAAACAACGTGCGGGTGCGACAAGGTGAAAAAAAAAAATCACGCGTGTGCGGCGAGGTTAAAAAACAAAAAATTCATGTGTGTGTGTGACAAGGTAAACAAAAAGAACGAACTTACGCGAGTGCGAACATACAAAAATGTGGACCCAATGCGGGACAGGACAAGGCAAACAACGTGCGTGTGCGACAAGGTGAAAAAAAGAAAATCACGCCTGTGCCACAAGGTTAAAAAACAAAAAAATCACGTGTGTGCGACAAGGTAAAAACAATAGCGAACTTTACGTGTGTGCGAATTTACAAAAACACGACGACTGTTTACTGAACAGGATCTGTTCTGTAGGTCGTACTTTTTCCTGTATCTACGATTATAGATGAGATGACTTGTCGGAATTGTAAGATGAGTCGAGACTTCCACCCTAGAGTGCGACTACTGGGTGGTAGAGGATTTATTAAAGAAAAAGAAAGCCGAAAAAGGTGGGGGCGACAAGGTAAAAAAACAAAATCAGGTGTGTACGACAAGGTAAAGAAAAAACACGTGCGTGTGTGACAAGGTAAAGAAAAAACACGTGAGTGTGTGAGGAGGTTAAAAAAAAAAAAACACGTGCATGTGCGACAAGGTAACGAAGCACGCACGTGCGTTTGCGACAAGGTAACAAGTCACGCACGTGTGATACACGGGAGTGGAGAGAGGTCGTTCCTTATTCCACAACTTGGCAAATGCGACAGCTGCGTGTACCTTGTGAGAAAATGTGACTAGATACATTCGCCATGCGTATGTGACAAGGTAACAAATCACACACATGCGTGCGATACACGGGAGCGGAGAGAGGTCGTTCCTTATTCCACTGCTTGCCAAAATGCGAAAACTGCGAGTGTACCTTGTGAGAAAAACGTGACTAGATACATTTGCCATTCGACTGCCTCGTTCCACACTCGCCAAGTGGTCGAACGAGAACCTGATTGTGTGGACTCCGGTGAGTGCGTGGGCATGCTGTACTCACACTAGCACCATCGTAAATGTATCTGACCGCATTTATAGCAGACGTGGATGTATCTGGCCGCAATTACATCGAAAAATAAATAAAAAAGTCCTAGCGTGAGTAAGCCCTGAATCTGGACAAAATTGTTGTCAGATACGTATAGTGAAGTTCGACGGTAGTGTCACTGTCAGTCGGATACGTTTAATGAGTTTGGCCGCGCGGGTTTCCATGGACAGCACAGCCGTGCTTCTGACTGAATCTGGGCGGAATCGAGGTTGTATACGCCTAGTGATGTGGTGGCGTGAATATTTTAATTCTTATTATCTGTGAATATGCCACACTCGGCATGAATTCGGCGGATGGTGAGAACGACTGATCAAGGACATGGAAGTGGATTGGTTACCACTTGACCTGCGTGGTCCCGGACGATGGGAGGGTGCTCTGGAAAACTCGCTAGCTCAAGAGTCCCACTGAATCCTCAGATCGCCTGAATGCTTTCATATGCCATTACCCCGGAATCCTGCTGCAGCGTTGGACATACTCCAGGTATCCTTGGGTGGGCCTCATGCTTGGCGTCCGAAGTACTCGTGAAAAAGCTGTACTTCCAGTGTGGACTAGGTAGGGTAAATGGGGCCTTGCTTAGCACTGGTGTCTACAACTGCGGTCTCGCCCCGCCATCGTGGGCGGATGTTCCTTGTAATGAGGTGTGATTGGGGAGCAGGCGATGGCGGGGCGGAATGGTCCTTGTCATGAGGTGCGATTGGGGAGCAGGGGATGTGCCAGGGAGAATAGATGTGAGGCGCGGAGGGGGGTGGTAGCCTCCTAAGGTGAATTGAAAACCAGATGGCGAAAGGTACCTCTCATGGGTCTAGAATTCAACCTGTACAACAACCTGAAAAAAGAAAAAGGTATCCTTGGGGTCTGAGACGTACACTCCTTCCTCCTTAGACTCTGCACCTACCGCTGACAGGTCTACCACGAGGAGCTGCTCGTATCGCCCTGCGGCTGATCTTCTTCTTAAATCGCCACCACCTTTGCCAGTGTTGGGAAAAATGGGAAAAGAGACTACTTTGAAAAGTTCGGAGGTCCCGAGGAGGCTCGGCAGGAAAGAAAAGAGAAAGAAAAGATTGGAACCCTGTGGGCCTGCTGCGGTGAGGAAAAGACAAACAAACCCAAGAACTTGGAATCCAACGATGTCGGGAAAGGCCCTCACGGAGATTGAAGTCACACCATTGCTGTGACGCCCAACCTCACGCCCAACGCGACTTCCTGATCGGAGTGGGATGGGGGCCCGGAAGTGCGAAAAGGGGTGTGCCAAGGATTTTTGGGGATTTGGGGTGGAGTCCCAGGTCGGAACTGGGATCTCCTGTGGCAAGTTTCAGGGGTAGAAGTGCAAGTGTCTTCGAGCTCAGAGTTGGGGCGATGACCGATCGTGCTGCCTGGGCCGGGGTGGGGTACTACGGGTGTCTCTGTGGGAGTGCTCGTACCGCTGCCGACCGTCACACGTCTCGGGGTCCGACGAAGACGAGCTGGATTCTCGTTGCTCGGCCTTGGGATGGGCTCGTTGCGCGACCCTCGCCTGCCGATGCTCGTCAGGCTGCCGACACTCCGAGCACGGCGGATGCGGCCAGAACCGGGCTATGGAATCCCAGGGAACCACAAGTAACCGGTGGTAGGGGAGGACGGTATAGTAGGGAGGGAAGTCACTGGTAATGGCAACGAAGCCCGGGGTGAGAAAATATTGCTGGTTTCGGCTGTCCGGATAATCGGGAATCCGCGAGTCTCGGTTGATTGCCAGCTGGAAGTCGCCCCTGCACAGTCGCTCGTTTTCAGTCCGGCAGGGGTACTCAAGGTACGCAGGGTTTCGTAGGTGGCGATGTTGTCGGATTTGCTGCCGGCGGATCTGTTCCCTCTCCCAATACGCCCGGTATTCTGGGTCCCTCAGGCTTTCGCGATCGGTGATCCAGAAAGGGGAATCTATCGCCATGTCTCGTTCAACCGAATTCCTGCACACACATCTTCCTACGGGGCGAGATCGTGGCTGGCTTTTGCAGGCGCATGTGTAGACGACTCGTTCGTGGACGATCGCTGTCTTACACGTGCGTGCGCAAAAGCCAGCGGATCAGATCCTAAACTGCGCAAATATCCAAGGGGCGTGCCGGCTCAGTCATGCAGCCAATTCCCTCAGGCTATCAATCTCGTCCCGTTTTGGTCAGCACAAGCATGCACACTCAGTGATCCCCGTATGTCTGAGGGCACCGGGACCTTAATTCGTCCCGACCCATATCGTAGATAGGGATTCCATCAATCACGTTTAGATTTGTGCGCTAAGTCCGTTCGGGGTTGCGGGCTGGCCTCGTGGGTGCGCGTGTAAGTCGTGCTCTTCAGATCGTACTTACACGGGGACTCGCGGGGTTGGTCCGCCGTGGATCGATCCATCAGCCAATCACCTATGCAGAAGAGGGTTCATGCAACAACCTTTCAGACAACTCTGTTCGAGCAGAAAGCAGTTATGCGGCCGTCAGGGGGATATCCCATCACCATCCAGACATTCATCGAAACATCATAACAGTATCAATTCCTTTCACCTATCATTCATCCGGGTGAGAGTGGACCGGTGCTGCGAGCACTGGATGATTCAGGATTACGTGCAAAACATCGGCTATTCAAGCATTACGAGATCATCAGGCCCATCTCATCAAGCGAATGCGAAGGCAAAAGAGGGGAGACTGAGATTGAGCCGTACATCAGATAAAGCCAAATGAAAGGTCAAAATGCAAAACAAGGGCATCTCGCCGAGAGCCAAAATTTTGTACACAAGGACAAAGACAAAGAAAATTGCAATCCCACACACGCCTGTTTCCTCTCTCTCTCTCTCTCTCTCTCTCTCTCTCTCTCTCTCTCTCTCTCTCTCTCTCTCTCTCTCTCTCTCTCTGTGATGCGGACAGTCTGTCGTCTCGCACCCACCAACGAAGTTGTCACCTCGCTTAGTCCGCATGCGCCCGTCAGGTTCGCCCGTGCGCCACAGTCCGTCGTGGCCTATACGTCAACCCCGCGCACTTGGCACCAGCTCGTCGGGTCGCCCAACTCCCACATCAACTCACCTCTTACTTCGCTCATTAGCCGACCCTCACTGATCGCGCTAACCTCGAGCTTCCAAAAATTTTTAAGAGAGCCATCCAATCGCGCCGACAAAATTTATAGCGTGCATGCGTGTGCGAGGATGCGAGATTGCAGGGATTAGAAAGAGGAGCAGAGAAGGAAGTGCCTACGCTTGGCATGGTCAGATCGCGGCGTGGGGGATGTAGCCACTCTCCACGCATCGATCTAGGCATGCAGCGCTCAGGCCAATCATTTTCAGCAAAAAGAAGGGAAAGGGCGGGAAGAAGGCGAGGGAACAAGAAGAGAGATACAGTTACAATGGCGCCCACCCAACGATGACAGTTGCATGCAAGATTAAGGGCGCCGCTTAGTCAGAACTTCGTTCCCGCCGCAGGAAGATCCGCACAAGAAAGAGGCGCTGCTCGGCAAGAATTTCAAAAAGTCCTAAATTCCTATCTGAACTCAAAATTGCAACAGAAAAATTCCGACGAGACGGAAGAAAAGCAAAAAGAAATCAAAATTCCGAGAGCCCTCGGGGCTCGTCCTTCGTTGAAAGGAAAATTTAAAAAGAAAACGCGAAGCTCCCGCGCGATCATCGCGCCAAAAATCTCAGTTCCCCCCTTTTATTCCCAGCAGAGCAAGAAAGAACCATCGCCAACCGTTATTGATCGTGCCCAACAGGGCGCGCACACTCAACCGTCTGTCCCGGGCCTGTCCCATCACCGCCGACGGGGAAGGAGCGAAGCGAAGGAAAGAAAGAAGCGAGGACACCGATGCAATTTTACCCGCTGATCCCTCCTCCCGTAATTTGCCCCACCTTCCCATCTCAGGACCCCTCGTTGTCATCGCGCAGAAAGTCGCGCGGCACAGAAAGTGGTTCGTCACAGTGCTATGAGGAATGTACCTGGCCACTATGTGCCCCTGTCTTCTGTTTGTTGCTACACATCCTGAAACCATTTTCTATTGATCATTTCTTCTTTATATGCAGCTGTGGAACATTTGAGGTTGATGTCGTAAGGTTCGTTGAGGACAACTTGTTTTATGTGCATTTTTTTTTTTTTTCACAGCTCAATCTTCAAAGATATTTGCAGTTGATTGTTTTCTTCGTTTTTCTTCAATTCTAATTAAGCGTTACTGTTATCCTGCTTGCTCCCTGTCTTGTGCAGAATTGACGATAGGACAGTGTAGAAGGAAACACAGCTACAGGCAATCACAACACTGGGAGGAGGTGAAATGTGGCCGCTCCCGGGGGGGGAGAATCCACAACAAGATACTTAGAAAATCAGCAGCCACGCGTGGAGAAGAAGAGAGAAGGGGTTTGGAGTTATTTTTGGGGTTAGTCAATGGGTTGGGCATCACAATCTGGAAGTTGGAATAGTGTTGTGTACTCAATGCTCATCAGTCTGGAAGGTGAAGGGTGGTAAAGTGGCGGGGGGGGAAGAGGGGGCCAGGTGGTAGGGATTTACTGAACTTGAGACGAGTAGGGTGGAGGGGAGAGAGGGGGGAAGGGCGGGGGGGGGGGTGGGGGGGAGAGGTGCATGGCTCCAGGGGGGGATAAAGTCTGCACTTTGTTGGTTGGGAAACATTGTTCGCATCCTGGGAGTCAGAAATAAATCAAAGATCATTCATTCCCCTGTCTGGAAGTAGGTGTGGATGGGAAAGGGTGTTTGGACACCCAGGTCAATCGAATATACGATGGTCTACCAATCATTGTAGATGAAAATTCTACTGGCTAGTTTGACTTTACTGTTGGCCTACGGTGGTAGGCTAGGTATACATATGCGTATACAACACAGTATAATTATGTGCATAGATGTCGTTTAGCATAACTTGCCCTTTTCACAACTGCAGCGTCGCCATTACTGTAAAGCTTTTCTGGTGAATGTACTATCTTTTTGCGTTTTATCATTTACTGTAAGAACTGCTTCATGCCAAATACTTGGCGGGGCGGAGAGGAGTGGGTTGGGGGAATTAGGTTTGATTGCAGCGAGCGGAGGTTTCTTTCTGGCATACTTACTGACAAAGCTTCTTTGGGACGGGGATTGGACTGGCATGACTGCATGCCGTGTTGGTTTGGTCCTTGGTGAATAGTAGGTCAGCTATTGCCTTTGTAGTCAGCTAAGGAGGCCTGACGCATGCGGGATGATGCAGTGACAGCATTGTGTATGGTTCTGCGATTCTCCGTAGGTAAACTAGTGTAGTTCATGCCGTCTCCACAAGCGAAGGTCCGTACACAGGATGTCCTCCAAGGGTCCAAGTTCAATTCAGCCGTTGCCTAAGGAAAAGTAATGAAATAGCTTAACCTGGCTTCTTAGAGGAAGCTAGGTTAGCTTGATCTTAGCTAACCCACGCTAGATCATTTGACGGAGAACTAGTCTATCGAGATATACAACTGAATGTAACTGTGGAAGCAGTGTGGGTAACTGGTGTGTGACTGTGCGGCTAACTGTGGAAGTAGTGTGGGTAACTGGTGTGTGRCTGTGCGGCTAACTGTGGAAGTAGTGTGGGTAACTGGTGTGTGACTGTGCGGCTAACTGTGGAAGCAGTGTGGGTAACTGGTGTGTGACTGTGCGTCTGCTGCAGAGGCAGTGTGGTTAACTGGGGCTCGGTTGAGCTGTTACTTGCGAGGGTTGAACTGAGCTATCTCCGGATTTATAACTGGCATGTGACTGCGTGGCTAACTGCAGAAGCAGTGTGGTTAACTGGTGTGTGACTGTGCGGCTGCTGCAGAAGCAGTGTGGTTAACTGCGGATCGGTTGAGCTGTTTCTTGCGAGGGTTGAACTGAGCTATCTCTGAATTTGGTTAAGTGATATGAGTAGTGGTACAGATTAGCACGGAAGGTTTTGACGGCATGGAGGTTGCGAGCCGCATCCTGTCGGAGCTGGAATCTGTGGCCACTGATGCTAGAGACACTGTGGTGCAGAGGGAAGCATTCCTGCGGCTTGTTGAATATGTCGAGACTCTGGGATTGCTGGTGGAGAACATTAATGCCAAACACATTGAGGAGATTCCAGATGTCATCGTGGCACTGGAGGAGATTGATGCCAAGCTTCAGGATGTGCGGAGGGTTGTTGATCGATCACGATCCAGCAGCAAGATTGCACTTTTCCTGTCCAGCGTGGAGCTCGTCGAAGAGATCCAGAAAGTTGTTCAAGGCCTAGGGGAGGCTGGGTTGAAAATGCCTTTTGCCCAAATGGGTGACATACCCAAGGAAGTCCGTGGTCGAATCAAAACAACCTGTCGGTCCATGAGGACGGCGGAGTTCCGTCCCACGTTCCTGGGGTCCCGAACTTGTGAGATGGTTGAAAAGGGCCTTGCTGAAGCCAATGATGATGTCAACCTTGTCCGGGATCTGTTTGTATGCGTGTCGAGGGGCATCGGCCTCGACAAGGATTTCCCAAGAATGAGGCAAGAGCTGCAATTGTTTCGGGAGGAGAAAAATGCAAAGAGGCAGGTGGATCCGTCTGCAGTGCAGCGCCTCGATGAAATCGATGAAATGTTGCACCAAGGAGAGAAACATTGGCGAGTGAAATTGGGCGAAGGGTCCATGGTGGTTGACTTGCCCAGTCCTGGAGGAGGCAACAATGCTATGGACCGCGGGGGTAGATCTGAATGGCCGGTATTGGGAAGAGGGCGGGATGTAGGGGGGGGAAGGGTGGGGCAGGTTAGACCACAAGTAGGAGGGGGAGGGGTTGGGGGTGCATATGCCAATGCCAATGATTTGCAGTTACCCAAGGGGGGGCGGGGTGTTCGGGGCTACGGGGGCGCCGAACAGCCACTGGCTCCTGGCATCCTGAAAGAGGCTGAACCACAACTGGATGAAGTAGGGCCAAATGGTGTGGCACCGATCAGATATCAGGCACCGGATGGTACACCTCTGCCAAGGCCTCTGGCAGCTCAACCAGAACTGGCCAGCGAAGGAGGTGTCAGAGATGGAGAGGGAAATCCTGTGGCTGCTATTGGATCACTGGACGCTAAGCAGGGAGCCACGCGAGGAGCTGAAGAGGGATCTATACGACGGCCTGGACCAGGAGCTGGACCTTTTCAGGAACCAGGAGGTGAAACTGGGATAGACCCTCGGGGCGGTAAGAGGATGGTGGAGGCTGGAAGACCGAGTCCAATATACGTGCCGTTTCGTCGAGCAATTGATGTGAGCCCTGTTCGTCCTGCACAACAGAGTGGCAGAGATTTGAGTGTAGCCAATGGTGGTGGCGGAGGTTCCGTGGATGGCATCCCAAACGCAGGTGGGGGGAATAGACAGCTGGGTGTCGATTCTAGCAGGGATGGGGGCTCGTCAGGGGCAGTGGCAGCGCCTCTTGTGGAGCACGCAGGTGCAGCCGATCGTGGCAAAGGAGGGGGCAGCCATGATGCCAGATCCCCCATGCTATCTCCACGTGCGGCAGCTGCTCATGGGCCACTTTACCGTGGGAGAGGTGGACATGAGGGAAGGTTGGGTGGGTCTGATCAGAGCATGCTCTCCAAGGAGGGGAGTGAAGGAGGTGGAGGACCTAGCAGCAGGGGTGGTATGGAGCGGGAGCGTCAATCAAGGGCAGCAGGATCCTTGGCGAATGGAGCGCTCGAGAGGCGGAATGCGAGGGGGAGGCTTGATGGTTGGCCTGGAGGCTTAGGTTTTGAGCTAGTGACAATCGGGATGATTTTGCCAAAAGATAAGCACGATGTATGGCTCGTCGACGCAGAACCACTAAGTTCCCAAGAAGTAGAAGAAAGTGGAGGAGGTGGCGGTGGAGGAGAAGGAGGAAAAGCTCCAGGCCGTCTGGGGAGGGGTGCATCTGCTGAACCTCAGATCGCAGGCGATGCAGCCTCCGATAGGGGGAAGACCGCCGCTGGCAGTGGCAGCATAAATCAGGGACTGCAGGGTTCAGCATTTGACAGGGGTCAGGGACGAGGAGTACCGTCAGGAGTGCAGGGAGACCTGTCAGCCAGAGAAAGAAGCGATGATAACCGTTTCCAAATGAGACCAACTGGTGCTGCTCTTACCGATAGTGGTCAGACGAATGTGTCCGTGTCTCAGAAATCTCCTGCAAACTCCGTATCTGGGTGGGCATCTGAGTCGCAGTCATCGAAAATCTCAATACCTATTCAGGCGGCAGGAGGACGACAGCTGGATGGAGTACCGAGCATCTTCGTTTGTCCCATTCTGCGAGATTTGATGAGAGATCCAGTGAGTACTTGTACACATCATGTTGAATGCCCAACTATCAACTATTATGATTTTCCTCGTGCTGTTCCGTTTACTTTTGTGTCTATTTACTTGTTCTGTACTGCTCTCTTTTTCTTCCTCCTTACTTTTGACGTTTGCTTGTTTTGCCTTTGTTCTGCTAATATGCCTCTCGACTCCAGTTTTATCTGGTATATGTGTGTAATTTTGTAATGCAGTGCACATCCATTGTAGTATTGCACAGCCACTTCTCTTCCTTTTTTGTTTCTTTTCCTGGCATCTCTCACCTTCATAGTGCTCTGCATCTCTGATTCTCTGGTGTTGTCATCTCATTTTCAGCTAATGTATATACTTTCCATGCCTTCTTTGGAAGAGGCATGCATGTAACAGGCATTCATGGTTGCGTGCATGCAGCACTCTTGGAATCTCCCACGTCTTTTTGTTCCTGGATCAAAGGCTTTCCCCCCCCCTTTTCCAAACCACCACTAATCTTGTAGCTGTAATAACAGTCTATCCCATGCATGCCTTCTACATGCATGCCTCGGAAAGGGATGGAGAGCCTACAGATAAGCTGAAAATCAGAACAGTGTCACAAAAGTCAAAAGCCACTTCTAAGGGTGACAACGTTTTCCGGTGTACATTACGGTGATGCCTGAAGTTTGTGCAAGGAATATGAGTGTGAACGATATACAGAAAACCAAGTTGCGAAATCACACAGATGTCTAAGTAGTCGTGTACAAGCAGAGAGCATAATTGCACCGAGAATCCATCCAAATAGAGCAATACAATGAAGTAATGAGCCAATGTTCAAGCCCTTAGGCCACACCAACACAGTATCCAAAGTCGCTCCTCTCTGTCTGGCGCCCAGCGCCCAGCCTACTCTACTCGACTATCCTACCGACAGCTATGTTCACGCAACAGGCTCACTTCGACTCTCGACGACCAATGTACATGATGTCAACACCATAGCCGACCTCTCTTCATGCACCAGGTACGTATCTCGTCACCCTCATCAGGCCTTGATAACTCACGGTTGCCTCCTTCCCTGAAGACCACCAGATCGCCCTCTTACCCCCTGGCGCCCAGCAGCCCGGCTATGGCTGCCTGCGTCCCGCTGCCCTGCAGCGCCCCACTTCGCCCGCCAGCGCCCTGACCATTAGCGCAGCATCCAATGCAGCAGCGCAGCAGCGTGACCGCATTGCCTGCGCAGGCCAGAATGCCTCGCCAGGGCTGCCTCACTTCCTATATGGAAGTGGCAGCCTCCTGGATGTTGCGTGTGGCCTGGCTGTAAGCTTCCAGTAGCTTCCGGTTCGGCCTCAGTCCCTGCGCCCAGGCCTGAGGCTATAGTTGAGGGCCTGGGCCCCGTTACAGTTGGGCACGGCCTGAGTCCCCGGACTTGGGCTGTTTGCTGCATCTGTGCAGGGCTCCCAGGTAGGTGCGTCGACAGTACTGCTTTTGCATAGGCTGATGGCCTGCTTCTCAATGTATTGGCCCTGCTTCGTACGTATGTGCCCAGGCGCAACTGTCAAGGCCTGGGCCAACTGTACGATGCAGCTTAGTGAGGCTCACACGTTTACTCAACCAACTGGCGTGCTGCAAGAGCCTGAATACCCACATATGGGGATGTGTGGAAATTTTGGCCTCTGACGAATATTCAGGCCCGCATTCGCTTAGGGCGGGCACTCGGCTTGCTGGGGGCCTTTGCCCAGAACATGTGATGTCTGATAGGGCCCCGTGAGGGCTCGTTCCTCGCATTCCATTTCCCTTAGCTTCGAAAGTCCGCTGAGATGCTTCATGCTGGTGCCTTCCCCTTCAGTTTCTTCTCATATTCGGCCACAATCCGAGGAGCTGTCTTGACAAGTTCCTCCCTTGAAATCCATCGATCTTCCTTGGGATCAGTATGATGCCTGAAATGTACTCTGTCCTCCCTTGCAGGCTTAGGAGGTCTACCCCTGCCAGTTGGCTTGGGAACAGGCATGTCTCTGTGGTCCATAATATCGTCGACGTGCACGTGGCCATCCATGGTTGGGGGCAGCATAGATCTCCGTGATGGGAACTGTGCTGTCTCAATGAAAGGTGCAAGCTTGGAGGCGTGAAAAACAGGGCAAGGGCGTAGGTGACCAGGGATACGAATGACGTACGAGGGACCATCCAAGGCATTACCCATAATATCTAAGACTGCTGAGGGACCGAAATGCTGAGGTATTAGTTTCCGAGAGATGCCAAACTCTTGTCCCAACTCACTAGCCTTCACCCAGACACGTTCCCCTACTTGAAATGTGGACTGTTGACGATGTTTGTTCTCAGAAACAATCATGGCTTCCTGAGATTTCTTAATGTGTTCGAGAGTCTGCTGCAACAATTTCTCATACTGGACACCAAATTCAATGGTTCCAGGAGTTGCAGCAGTTCGGTTTTCAGGCAGGAGGAAGTCTGGAGCAGATCTAGGCTTCCATTCTAGATGCAGTTGATTAGGACTGACGCCGGTGGTGCTCTGTACAGCATTGTTGTACAGACTGGCGATGAGAGGTAGTTTCTCATCCCAGTCATCCTGGCTGGGCTTGATGTAATGCCTCAGCAGATGCTGCACCACACGGTTCATCTGTTCAGCCTGCCCGTTTGCTTCGGGATGAGTCCTAGAAGTCATCTGAAGCTGGCTGCCCATCTGTTCAGCGGCCTTCTTCCACATTTCGCTGGTGAAACGCACATCTTTATAACTAACGATTGTCTTTGGCAGCCCAAAATCACGCACCCAGTTATCCATGAATGACTTAATGACGTGTTCAGTCCTGGCGGTCTCTGGTATGGCAATTAGTCTAGCAAACTTAGTAAACCTATCAACTATGACGAAGATGTGCCTCTTGCCATTCTTGCTGGTCACGAGAGTATCCATGAAGTCCATGGAGATACTCTGCCCTGGGCCAGCAGGAATGGGTAGAGACTTGAGTAACCCAAGCGGAGCTTGAGTCCGCGGCTTGTCCCACTGACAGACCTGACAGATCTGTACGTACTTCTTTGCATCGTCCAACATGTTAGGCCACCAGAATCGCTGTACTAAATTAGCACTAGTCTTCTTGTAGCCGAAATGTCCCGTTGGGTCCTGGCACTCACCTAAAAATAAACTACGCAAAATCTCCCTAGATGGAACAACTAACCTCTTAAACCCTGCCTTTTAAAGAAAGAGTAACCCATCCACCATCACAAACTCGTCAGTGGTGGCCTTGGCTTTGGCCTGCAGTTTGTTCAGTATGTCCATCGTCATGGGATCTTCCTTGTAGGCTTCCCCCAAGGATCGAGTAACGTCCTCAGATAAGCCAAACTCAGAAATCAGCGCACCTAGGTAATCTGCCCTTCTAGACAACGCATCTGCAACCTTGTTGTACTGTCCCTTCACATAGTCTAGTTTGAAGTCATACTGATCTATGACTTCAATCCAGCTTTGAGTGCATCGAAGAGAACTGGTTGTGTCTTGATCCAGTTGAGGGTCTGATGGTCAGTTCTAAGTAGAAGAACCTTCCTAACGGATAGTGCCTCCAGTGGACAAGTGCCTTGTAGAGAGCGTAGAGTTCCCTCTCGTAGGTGGACTTTGCCAACTTCTTTGATGACATCTTTTTGCTCATATACTCCACCGGTCTCAACTTTTTCCCTTCCTGCTGAGCCAGCACTGCGCCAATGCCATATTGGCTTGCGTCAGTGGTTACAACGAATGGCCTTTGCGGGTCGGGTACCATGAGAACTTCATGGTGTGTGAGTGCATGCTTCAGACGCTTGAAAGCTGCCTCGCACTCGTCGGTCCAGTCCCACGGCGTATCAAGTCGAGTTAGATCAGTCAAGGGAGATGTGATCGTGCTATAATTCTTAACGAAATTGCTGTAATAACCACACATTCCTAAGAATGATCTGACCTCAGTCACAGATTGGGGTCGTGGCCAGTCACGTATGCTAGCCACCTTTGCATCTTCGGGCCTAATCCCAGCCGCGGATACTTCATGACCCAAGTACAAGATTCGAGTGTGTTCGAACTCGTATTTCTCTGCGTGTATCTTATACTTCTGTTGTCGAAGGAGTGAAATTACTTGTCTACATGCTGAGCATGCTCCTCGACAGTCTTACTAAAGATAAGTATGTCCTCGAGGTACACAACGACGAACTTATCTAAGTAGTCGAGGAAAATCCTATTCATGGCGTGTTGGAATGTACCCGGCGCATTGCAAAGGGCAAAGGGCATCACCATAAACTCGTATAGGCCGTACGTGGTCTGAAATGCGGTTTTGTGCTGGTCCTCTTGTCTTATGGCAATTTGATGGTAGCCGGATTTTAAGTCTATCTTGGTGTAGTACCTACATCCGTGCACTCTATCCAATAGGTCGCCGTTGCGTGGTAGAGGCTCTGCGTTCTCAACTGTGATGGCATTGAGGCCTCTATAATCAATGCACATCCTTAGTGTTCCCCCTTTCTTTGGAAAAAATAGTATGGGTGAGCCAAAGGGGGAGGTGCTAGGCCGAATCCACCCCTTCTTTGTGAGCCCTTTCAGTTGTTGCCGAAACTCATCCAACTCGGCCGGAGCCATCCTATAGATTCTTAGGTGTCTTGCTACCTGGGATGATCTCTATGGCATGGACAACCTCCTTGTCTATGACCCCTGTAGGCTCCTCAAACAGATCAGGGTATTTAGCGACGATGGTCTCTATCTCTGGGGGTGTTTTAACGGTCTCCCCTTTTGCAGAGATAGAGACTAAGTACATACCTTCCTCTTGGTTCTGTTTATAATAGTTATAGAATGCAGGGGTGCCTAAGGACCCATAGGAGTCTATTACCCTACTGGCTTTATACTTGGCCAGTCTAACGGTCCTCCCATTAGGCAACTCCTGCTTTAACACCTTGTCCCAGTCAAACTGGGGTTTGGCAACCTCGAGGTAGTACATGCCCAACAACATGTCGAAAGGCAAATCGTCGCTCACCAGGAACGAAATTCTACGATTAAGTTCTCCTTTTGGATAGGA